CAGGATATTGAAAAGAATCTATTTATCCTGAGTCCTGTTACGTGCCTGCAAGGCTCTTAGGAAACGAGGCCACATCTGGGTGAGGAAGGGGGCTGGGAAAACCTTTTAACAAAGATTACAGCCTTCTGGGGGCCTTCACCGAGAATTAAAAAAGGATGAGCAGAGCTTTTTGTTTCAGGATGCATTTTCAAAAACAACAAACAGCCACGGCATGGATTATCCCTCAAACCACCATCTGGAGAATCCAAACATATATATTTATTTATGAGGTGGGCTAAAGTGAAGGATCAGCTCGCTTCCGTCCAGCTTGGGGGGGGTTTGACTCTGTGGACATCAGATTAGTATAATTACGTAGTGTGAACATGGTGACGAATTTACAAAATAAAACAGAAACTTGCATACAGGCGGAGCTGCTTTAAAGGGCAGGACGCAGATGACGGCCGACACAGCAGCACCTCTCAGCAGCGGCTTAAGGGAAAGTCCTTTGAGGAAGTGTCAGGCCATCTATGTGTTAATGGGGCAGAGACAAAGCTGTGTGCTTCATCTCTGCACAACTCCCTCCCTGCAATTAGCAAGGGGGGGTGGGGGGGCACGGTGGGTCACTCTGCCGACCAGCATGGGCTCAGGTGACCTCGAGTGGACATGACCTTTTGCTGAGTAAGCGATCGGGAGGGGGGAGAAGGAGGAGGGGTCGGTCTGACCCCCGCCCCCCCCCCACCACCACCAAAACCCATCCCTCATTTCTGTTACACTGGGGGGATATTTATGATCCCTGACAGCAGGAACACGACTGCAGAATCGGAGAGGAGGGACATAAGATTTGCATAGCAGACGAAGTTATGAAAGGGAGAGATTTGCATGCCTGGTCTCTCTCTCGCCTGCTCGCTCTCTCACTGGCCCCACCTTGCTGTGCGGGACCTTGCGGCACCATCTGTTCCTGCCGAAAGCAGCGGGGTGGGCCGTGTCACAACGGCAGAGCAGCTTCTGGGCCCCTGGCCGCGGGATCGCACCTCCGGAAGGGGGGGGGCGGCCGGTTTCAATGAGGAAGTACACGTATACCAGCGAGACCATGAGGTGGACAGAGGAAGAGCACCCCCGCATTCCCCCGCCGACTGCCCTGCCTCACAGCACTATGCGGGGAGGGGGGGGAGGGGCTGAATGCATAGAAACTCTAGGGGCCACAACATCCAGGGGGGAGGAGGGGGTGGGGGGCAGTTTGGAGCTGGAGCCCTGATTAGTTCAGCTCAATTCCAATCTCCATCTTAATCTCGCAGAAATCATTTGCGGAAAGAGGGTCTCACAGGCAAGCAAAAGCTTTACCGCAGTGATCCACGGGTCTGGCAGAGGGGCTCGAGATGGCAGCCGGCCATGACCGGCCAATCCACACAGTCACACACACACACACACACATGCAGAGACAGACACACACAGACACACACACACAGTGACAGACAGACAGTCACACACACACACAGTGACAGACAGACAGTCACACACACACACACACACACGCACAGTGACAGACAGACACATACACATGCAGACAGACAGACACACACACACAGTGACAGACAGACACACACACATACATACACACACATACACACGCAGACAGACAGACACACACAGCGACAGACAGACACACACACATACACACATACACACGCAGACATACAGACACATACACACGCAGACAGACACACACACACAGCGACAGACAGACACACACACATACACACATACACACGCAGACAGACAGACACACACACATACAGACACATACACAC